TCAATCTGGTCCATTTTGAGAGCAACATTAGGGACTAAATCTATGGCAGTCAGTAGGGGCTTGGACTGTGAGCCGTAGGGTCGACGGTTCAAGTCCCCGACCAGACCTACATTTGGAGTGTGGACTTCTACTTGGAGAGGTCCCAGTTCACCTCCTGCCCTGCCGTGGTGCCCTTGAGCAAGGCACCGGACATCCCCCTTCCCCCCTCACTCCCATTGCTCCCTGGGCGCTGTACAATAGCTGCCCACTGCTCCTAGTACTAGACTCCTGGTACTAGGATGGGTTAAAAGCAGAGAACACATTTCACTGTGTGCTCTGCATGTGTGACCATTAAAGAGGGTTTCATCTTCTTCTTCTTCTTCTTCTTCTTCTTCTTCTTCTTCTTCTTCTTCTTCTTCTTCTTCTTCTTCTTCTTCTTCTTCTTCTTCTTCTTCTTCTTCTTCTTCTTCTTCTTCTTCTTCTTCTTCTTCTTCACCCATATAAAACAGAACTGTAAACAGATTTACTTTTTCTTTCAACATGTATTTGAAGAGCAAGTGGAGGCAAAAGTGACCGCACCCAAACAATAAACCTGCTGGCTAACAAGCCTAAACTCAGTAACAGAATGTGGGCAACACGTTGTTCTCCACAGCCGCGCGACCTCTGAGTCAGACGTCACTGCCCTCTTTTCTATCCTACGGGTACAGCCACTCCCCCTGAACCCCGTTTCCCTGCCAACCCCCCCCCCCTCCCCTCCCCGGAACACTTATAAATGTGGGCCGGTAGGATTTAGGCAAAAAAAAAAAAAAAATTATTATTATTATTTTATTTTTTTTAATGTGGCCCTCCGGCCGCGGCACAGCACCAGCCCACGCTCCCGGTATTCCCAATGGCCAGTCCGCCCCATTCCCAATGGCCAGTCCGCCCCTGTAAGGCGCTGTTGAACTCTGCTATTATGTGTTTGTTATGAATCTGCTACAGAAATGTGCACAAGCGGATATTTGTCCATGGTAGAATGGAGTGATAAAGGCTAGTTTCTCAAATAATGGTGGTAATATATGTGAGAGCAGCAGAGAGAGTGAGAAGAAAGGAACAATGGTGGCTGCCATGAAACATGATATAACAGGTATGGGGGGGGGGCTTTACAATGGCTGCTAATTGGCCTACACATGCCCAGTGGACTTGCCCTGTGTTCTGCTGCTTTGAACTGCATCTGATTGTACAGGAACACAGAAGGAAAAACATTATTTTTTCAGAGTTTGAAAATCTGTGACTACTGAGATAGATGTGCATGTTAGTTTTTTTTGCACATTTTCCTCATTTGTGCAGCATATGGTCAAATGAGCTCATGTTCATAGGATATTTTTTAAATGTATCTCACCTTTTTTCAAAAACATTCAAAAGCACTTTCTGAAGATAAACCTTTGTTCAGAGTCGTTGGGTTCATAGATTTGCATCAAAGAAAAATGAAAAAAGGTTTTATCAAAGTGAAATGCTGCTCCGAGTCTATATTATCTCAACATTTGTATGTAAATGTTTTGAAATTCCAAGATACTGATTCACCATAATGTAAGTTGAAAACCCATTGAAGCGTTTTAGGATAATGAAACATAGCTTTCACAAATCTCAGCCTTTCCCCTAAACTACTGATACATGTATTGTCCCAGGAGCCTGACTAGAATATTCTTTAAAATGCACTTTTGCATTTGAAGGGCAATATTCTATAAGGGTTAATCACATCAAGTTTTTCCTTTGCTGACCCATATGAAAATAATTTGACAGCAATCTTTTTTTTTCATCAAAAGTTACTTTGACCTTCCCACATTTTGCCTCATATGGTTGCAATATTTACACAATATAACATGTTATGACCTCGAGAACAAACACACTCACAGGAGGAAGCACTGTGAGAATAATTGTAATACTGAAATCTGACTATTGCACGCTGTTGAATGTGTTTAAGCCTTGAGGTTATACCTGTTATGAATCATCATTTGTGTATTGTAACCTTTCATTCTAAACAGTAACGGAAATTGGCCTTTTGTGGGTGTAGAGTGCACGACTGGACACGTTTTCACCCACATGCTGAGTAATTCACGACGACTGTTGATTCACGATTCATGATCGTTACAGAGAGACCGGGGCTAATGCCCTGCAGTGACACACCCATTTTCCTCAGATGCCAAAAACCACAACAGTCATTAGAGGTTTATCAATTCTTAAATTTCCCCTCCTCGACACCCCTCCTCGACTCCTATCCTCGATACTTAGTCCCGCCCACAGGAGATGCGAGTGGAGGACTGAGGAGGGGAACCGAGGAGAGAGGAGGGGAAGCAGCAGGCGGTTAGAGAAATGAGAACTCCTCTCCTCTGAGCAGTCATTTTAAAGAGACGTCCATTAATGATGACAGGAGGCACAGCAGCCCTCTGTCTGATGGACAGATGTGTTCATGATGACTTATATATTTACTTTGATTCATTCACAGTGCGGTATAATGAGACAATAACAGGCTACAGATGCGGACACACACACACACACATATATTTATATAAATATACAATTTCAGAATCAAACAAGTATGAGAGCACTCTCATAATAACGTAACACAATCAGAGACTGGATATATCCCCCCCTCTCTCTGGTCGCTGAAATGGGGAATTAAAATTACGGGCCAAAAGTTACAAGTATTAAAAGTAAGCAGAGGACACCAAACCAACTGAGACCCCTCTGTCCACCGCATCTACGCACTGTACCACACACACACACACACACACACACACACACACACACACACACACACACACACACACGCACGCACGCACACACACCTACACACTGTACACCACACACACACACACACACACACACACACAAACACACGGTGTGTGTGGTACAGTGTGTAGATGCGTGTTGTACAGTGTGTAGGCCTACCACACACCTACACACTGTACCACACACACACCTACACACTGTAGGCTACCACACACACCTACTAAAGCATAATCAGGCTACAGCCGTTGTGTATTTTATTATTGGAAGCACTAAATGGTCTTAGAAAAATATCGACTCTTTGTAGATATCTACTAAACTACAGCATACAAATACAGAGAGTAATGTATGCCTGTTATACTGAGTGATATATATTTTACACACGGCTCTGTTTTCTGCACGGACCTCACAGCTGTTCTCTCTGGAAACATCGCGACGCGATGAAAGGAGTTTCTAAAATAATATCCAGAGGATGCATGCAGAGCTGTCATTGGCTGAGATAAGTCTGGCCATGCGTCACGCCTCCACCGTTCCCGGAAATGCATCCGTGGAGGAACCATCAGTGTATCCTCGGTTAGAGCTCCTCCAGAGAGCCTCCTCGACGCTCGGTCCTCGATGTGCATTTAGAGAAATGAGATGTCCTTCAAAATGGCGCGCTGAAATTCATTTCCGGGTCACTACCGGAGGACCGAGGAGTCGAGGAGTCGAGGAGTCGAGGAGGGGAAATTTGAGTATTGAGAAACCTCTATTGTAAACAATATGCACTGCCTACAGGGAGATGAGAATGAGGCTACTGACCTGAGTTTGTGTCAAAATCATCCTGGTGAATTATATAATTGCCTGAGAAGATTGAATCTAGGCCAAAAATGAAGGCTCTTGTTTTGCTGAAACTCATTCCCGTAACCTGGGAAAAGTGAAAGGTACATTGATAATTCAAAACTGATATGAAAGTGTGTGTTGTTTTTTGTCTCCATAACCACACATCATTAATCATGTCTTTAATTAAGGGGTTCATCCAAGTTATTTTCCCAACTGTGAACCCATTGTTTTTAATATTTCAATGAATGCTGTGGTGTGTAGTTGTACTATGTTGCGCATAGTCAAACTGTTGGTTAAACTTAATTTACTCGCACATCAATGCTCTGCTGCATTTACATATTTATTTTATATGTAAACCCTGTACATCCTATCCAACGAACTACAATAAGCTTTGCTTAGTTTTTATCCTTGGTACCTTTAATTGTACTTTATGACCAGGTGATTACTTGATCACATTTACCATCATTTTAACTACATCTAACTTCTATAAAAACTGCTAGTAGAGTGAATATGGACCAAAAAGACTGTGAAAATGATGGAAGAAATTCCATTCAATCAGGTTAGCTTTCTCCCTCAGGGTGTTTTGTTTCTTTTCAATTGTTTATCCTCTGTTTGTATATCTTGTACATTTGCATGTATGTTTGTTGATATATCATGTATTTGCATACCACTGACTGTCATATTAGATCGACTGTATCTGTTTGCATGTATACATACTCTACTTTGCTATTCTGTATATAAATACATAGATAAATTGAACATGACCAATGTATTAGTACTGACATGTTATTGTCATACTGAAACAAAAGTCTTAATTTTTTTAGATAGATATAACCAGTGACATTTAATTTGTATTACTGTAAGCTTACATACACTTAATCTACTTTTGTAATTTCACCAGTATGTCTTTGTTGGAGTCTGGTTACCTACAACATGTATAGGAAACTAGAAGAAAATCAGTAACGTGGTTTTTCTGGTGCTTCTCTTTTTTATTTCTGCTGATATGGTTTGTTTTATGGCTTCTATAAAGTGCATTAGATTTAGCCTCATCAGTGTTTGTTTCCTTATTATTTAGTTTTATTTGGAATTTAAGGGGGTGAATGTGATCATTCAGCCAAGTTTCTTAAGTAACTGACAATGTTCCTGATATTTATCATCTTCCAGTAAAAATTATCTGGAAACAGAAATACTACCCGAAAAACTGGATATATTATGTTTCCTCAGTATTTGTTTGTTATGCCAAAGGAAGAGGATGAAAAAAAAAGTGTGAGAATGTCTGAGGAAGAGGGTGTGTTCACAGGTGTGCCAGCCCTTCTGCGTGCATGTGTGTTTGTGTGTCGTCATTTCCCCATTGTTGCACTGACGTGACACCTACCTGCTTGTGTATAAAAGCAAGCACATGATTCACCTGCTTCATAATCATTTCAGCGTGCCAAATACCTTTTCGGCTCTCTGACAGCTAACTTCAGCCCATTGCTTTGTCACAGGTTTCTATTAAGATGAGGAATCTTCTTGTGGGGGTTTTTCTCGGACTTCTTGCTGTTGTCCACTCAACACCTGTCCATAGTAAGTGAAAGTCTTTTTTTCTTTTAATAACAAATACTTAAGCAAACACTTATATTCTAGTTTAGCATGTGTTTGTTTTTATTTGGTAATTAAATGTTTGTTTATATAATTACATTATAAAATCCTAATCCAGGTCCATTTAATTCTGCTTTAATCCTAATAGGAGTTATTTAACGGTAGTCAGTACAATTATGTTGAAAAAACAGACACCTTTCCACCTCAGGACTCATGGACACAGGAACACACAGACAGACACAGACACAGGAATGTCTCTATGCTGTACCGACCTCTAAAATTTCAATAATTCCCATCGTGTCCTTTTTATTACCCTGTGAGTCAGCACTCCCCTCCTTACCCAAGACGCTCTTTATGTTTCAGGTCTTTCTGTAAGAATTCCAGAGTAGTATTTCATTATGGGTGCACATGGTTCCCCTGGCATCTCCAGATTACACACAGGGATCTTTGTCAAATGTGCTGAGCCCCTCCAGGAGGTGCAGTAAAGCGTGTGTCTGGAGTAAGGTGAAACCAAAGATCAGCTAAGAGCTGTTACACAAGTTTGGGCATCCGGTAACCTCATAGGGAACACTAGTGCCGAACGTGATGGGGCAGAAATGGAGAGTGGAGATGTTTGATTCAATTCTCAGGCTTTATTTGTAATATATTTCAGTTCACTTATCTTTTCACTTTATTGAGATTTTTCAGATTTGTGCTCAAGTGTAAATACACAGATACACTGTACTACTGAAGGTCAAGGATCATCAATGTCATACTTTTTTAGTATCAACAGTTAAAGTACTTGCTCTCAAGAAGAATGGTACCTTTAACTTATAATAGTATATTATTTGCAACTTTAGTATCAATGTGTAAGTAGTTTAAACACTAATTTTTCGAAAACACTGGTTTATTATGTTATTATGTATTGCATTTAAACGTTTATTGTATACTTAGTAAGATGTAGCTATAGCTCAGGGAGTAAAAAACCCAATTATTTTTATGTAGTGAAGTGAAGTAGAAGAACACAATGGAATTACTCAATCAAAGAACAACCTGCAAACAGTAGATAAGTACATGCTAAATGCTAACTGATTATAGTGTGAAATATCTAAAAATCTAGACTAGTAACAAGCAAAAACTTAAATCTAGCAAAGTGCCTAATTTGTTTTCCTTTGTGTCACAAAACTCTGGGATTTTCTTCCTTCCAGACAAAACTGGGTGTGTCAAGCGTGGTTGGCTCTTGTGAAACTGATGCTTTGATGAGGCTTCCTTTCTATTGTAAACTCTCTGATAGATGATTAGTCACAGAGGTTAATCATTACTGTCTCGAAGCAAACCTCATCAACGAAAAACACAAAACAAGTTTATACAAGAATTTTGGGCATAAGCCCTGTGTGACAATGTTTGTAAGGTATCAAAAAGGCTTGGTAACTTTCCTTTCCACTCATGTCAGGGCTGGTAAACACTCAAGCTGAACAGTGGATTTTTCTGTCTCTCTTTGTCCTAGCTACGACTCAGATCCCAGTCAAAGCTGAAAATGAAGTTATCAGAGAGGCTTTGACGGACGAATACATCATCGAACAGTCTTTACTCCCAACATTGACAACTAAATCGCCCAAAAGAAACACTACCGTTCAACAGATAACTGACACCACTCAGGAAAGTGCTAAAGGGGCGTCCATGGATCACATATCTACATCCACCATCTTGCCAGAGGACACTCAAGACAACATTTCAGATTCAACCACTACCCCAAACCGTCAGCTTAGCTTTACCTCTTCAGAAGAGCCAAATGAAGCCAAGTCAGGCGTCACGGCCACCCACATCACAGTCCCTCAAACTACTGACCTTACGACTGCCTTCGACATTGCCTTCCGGTCCACCCTGAGTTCTGAATCAGGCTCTGGAGATGGAGAGATGTTTACCCAGCAGCCTACTACAACCCCCAGTATGACGTCAGGCTCTGGAGATGGAGATGGGGAGATGTTTACCCAGTACCCGACTACAACCCCCAGTATGACGTCAGGCTCTGGAGATGGAGATGGGGAGATGTTTACCCAGTACCCTACTACAACCTCCAGTATGACCTCAGGCTCTGGAGATGGAGATGGGGAGATGTTTACCCAGTACCCTACTACAACCTCCAGTATGACCTCAGGCTCTGGAGATGGAGATGGGGAGATGTTTACCCAGTACCCGACTACAACCTCCAGTATGACCTCAGGCTCTGGAGATGGAGATGGGGAGATGTTTACCCAGTACCCTACTACAACCTCCAGTATGACCTCAGGCTCTGGAGATGGAGATGGGGAGATGTTTACCCAGTATCCGACTACAACCTCCAGTATGACCTCAGGCTCTGGAGATGGAGAGATGTTTACCCAGGTCCTTACTACAACCAGTTCACCATCAACCTCCATGGCTGGTTTTATCGCACCAAGAATGTTTGCAGGAAGCGAAGGATCAGGTGAAGGATCAGGATCAGATATTGAGAACAGCGGTATAGTGCTAATCAATGAGACACCTTCGAAGCAAGAACCTTTGAGAAATAGCGAAAATAGTAAGTATCTAAAACCTGCCTCAATAGTTATGCCTACAATCATGAACATTGTGTTTTATTGATTGCCAACGGAAAATATAAAACCTTTTTTTCTGTTCTTAGATCAGATAGGCCTACTGGACGATCCTGCCACTAACATAGGACACAGCACACCAGGTAAGTTTTGAAAAAATTGTAAACCAGATTTGTTCATGATCAAACTCTGCCATAGTCAGTCCCTGTCCTAACTTCTTATCTCCCATATCTCCAGGTTGGATCATCATCGTTGGTTTTATTGTGGGCCTTGCAGCATTGATAGTGCTATTTGTTGCCATCGCTACCAGAGACAAGTAAGGCTTTGAAAAAGGACAAATATAGCTATATATGTGTTGTTATAACTGGTTAAGCCTAGAAAAACATTCTTATTGTTCCTTATTTGTGCAGGTGGAATGCACCAAGCCAGGCATCCGAGACCAAGAGTAGCTCCTCCAACCAGCAGAAGGAGATAGAGATGAAAACGTTCCTGCACAAAGATAATCCCAGGGAGAATGGAACGGCGGGAGAGTACACGGTCATCCCCCTGGAGGAGCTTCCAGAACCTTCCTCACACTGAGGTTCAGACACAGACTCTCCGGAGGCTTCAGACTAATCACAGAAACACAAGTCAGAGTTTGAAACAGAACGCTTTGATCAGAGCAACAAAAGGGGCGGGGCTGTGTAGCACAAACGGTTCCTGTAAACTTCTCAGCTCTGATCCTAGTCCGGACCCCGAAACATAATGTGGCTTTTCCTGTCAACTTTCATAAACTCTTATTTACTTTTAAACTACAGCAATATTCATGTTGATGCTTTTATTGCCATTGTATTATCCGGAAAGAAATGCTGTTAGATGTTTTATTGTTTGTTTTTTGAATGTTTTTTTAACTGGCAATGATTCTGTGAAAATCTCTTTTTTGCAATAACATTATCGGTGTTGTGGATTGTAACTTATTTTAAGCTGTTGTGTTGTTTCCCCAACCTTTATTAAAAAACCTCTGATTCCTGAACAGAGCCCGACCCACTGACTCTTATGGCACATTTCCACTGCAGCGGGGTAGCCCCGTTTAAGCGTCCCTAAGCGTCCTCGCTCAGGCCTCGGGCTGCCTCGCTGGCCGTCCGAGGCCGTGGCGCATTTCCATTACAGTTTAGGACCTGGGGTAGCAACGCAGTGTAGGCGGGGCGATCGGCTTCACATTTCGAGTTGTTCCGTCGAGCTCCCGCTGGATTTTATCATCCCCAATGAGATGTAGGAACGTCGTCACCTTCTCGGTCGACCACGGTGTGCTTTTCTTTGACGTTGCCATTTTTGTAGCTCCTCCATTTACAAAAATGCTGTGTATAAAAATGCTGCAAGCTTGCTTCTAGATATATATGCGACGCTAGGGATGATCTCGTGTGCGATCTTGTGACGATTCTCTCTGACCAATCAGCAGTCGAGAGTGTTACATTACATTACATGTTATTTGTTAGACGCTTTTATCCAAAGCGACTTACTGTGGACAATCCCCACAGGAGCAATTTGGGGTGAAGTGTCTTGCCCAGGGACACAATGACATGCTGACTGCAGTGGGACTCGAACCCTGATTCGAAGTCCAGCACTCTATCCACTTAGCCACAGCCGCCCGTGTTGACGTCACTAGTTCAGCCCTGGCCCTGGCCTGATAGAACCACGATTTTATGGGGCCGGAAAAAGAGGGAAAAAGTTCCCGCTAGCCGGGGCTACGCTATATGGAAAGGCCACCAAAAACTGGCCTGACCGCTTGAGGATGGTTAAGGACGCTTAAACGGGGCTACCCGCTGCAGTGGAAATGCGCCATTAGACAACCTACACAGCACTCCATCTGTCGTTATTACATGTTCATATGATGAATTACACCGCATTTTATTTGAGAAATAAACACAACCACAGCTTATAATCAATAAACATTTATTTGTTTCCATTAATATTTACACACAGGTATTAAAACAGTTACACACTTTCAGTCCATTTGCCAGACAAATATTGTTTGTGTTACATTCAATCCTTCTTATTCTAATTTACAATAAATGTTGCATCACAATAAATGTCAGACACAAGGGAAATATTGGATACATTCTTGGACCGAAATGTGCATCAAATCATAAAGGAAGATAGAAAATATATGTTTTGTTTTGTAACGATTGAACGATTCCATGTTCATGTTAGGGTTGGACAACAATGCTACACTAGGCCAGTCAACTAAGGACATTTAGATCAAGGCCCGGAAACAATGCTACAGAAGTGATGTAACAAATAATTAGATAATGGATTTTACATAAGTCAGGCTACGATGATAATTTCCTAGGAAGAGTCTTCAATTTGTGAGAAAGGTAGTGCTTGAGCCAAACAAAGGATGACTTGCAAAGGTATCACAGCAGCATGGTGACATACTGTATAGCTGCCAACACAAAACTGAATCAATGTGCTGATGACCATTATATACTTAAAAACAAAATTCCCTGATTGAAGAGGAGAGCAATATTGGGCTCCCTTCCCCTAAAACATTCAGAGATCAGTAGTTTATTTTGAAAACAAATAAATGTAATGCATTGTTTCTAAATAAATAACTCTAAACTTATAACCACTAGTGGCTCATAACATGAAAATTAACATTGTACTTACATTGTTTTAAATAATATTGTTAAAGTCTTTATAGAAACGTTTAGCATAGCAAAAACAATTCTGATGCTTGACATGAAATGTCAAATCCTACACATTTGATTTATACACTTTATCTAAAGATGATATATAAAGTGCAAGGAGGCACTTTAAACATGAATATAAGCTGTCACTTATCTGAAAAGGGAAATAAATAACCTGTTTTAACTTTGAACAGAGTTTCTACACGGAGTCAAACTCAAAAACATATTCAGCCGACATCCAATGACCTTGTTGTTACGGCTTCAGATTCAGAGGCAGAATTTAGTGTGCATTGCTAAACAGTTATGACCACAGTTAAATAACTCTGTGTATACACAAGCGTGTTATTTATATATAAATCTGCACTTTTGATCATAATGTGCGAAATCGCACTGATACCTTGTGAGGAAATCCAGCATGTAAGGTGGAAAAACTTTACTTCTATTGAAATGTGTGTCCCAATATTCTAAAGAAATTAATAGTAATAAATGTTATTCATTGTTAGTCATCACACTGACTGCACTCTGCAGTTGACATCGTCAAGGCAAGGTTGTCATTTAGCAAAGAAATAAACAGTTTGAAATAAAACACAGAGCAATGCACTGGCCTGCCGAGAGTTTGAGAGACACCCCCTACCCCCCTTTTACTCTTGTTGACCCTCCGACTTCCTTTCCTTCAGAATCTTCCCCTTGCTCTCAGAAACACACACAAACACAGAAATTCCAGTACACAGGCATACTTCTTGACTAAAAACAGAAACACAGTGCGTCACCCATAAAGAACATATATACAAATGGAATAAATAAATAACTGTGAGGGCACCCTTCACATACATTTCTATTTCTGCTTTACAGCTCTCTGCAACACATCCTGTGCTGTTTGTTGCCACAGTTAGAGGTCAAACGCTCTGCTCTTATGCTTTAAGTCCTAAGCTTTGCTTCTTAGGCTTGGCCATGTGTGTGACATCAAGGAGTAATCCCATAAGTCAAAGAGTCATAGGTAGCACAGTGTTGAACCATTACTTAACTCATAATGACAGAAGCACTGTTTCATTCTGTTCATGTTCTATTTTCATGAACACAGTTCCCATTATTTTGAACCTTTAGACCAGATTTGGACATTTCACGAGAAAACAAAATACACAAACATGTTGATATTGACAACGATTCAGTAAGGAAGTCTGTCAGACTATGAATATGCCGATCTGGTACATTTGTTCTGAGTCAATAACACCAACCTTTGTATTTTCTCTTAAGTGGTCCTTGTATCAAAGGTAACAAGGCCATCATCCACGTTTCATCGCTCCGCCCTTAAAGCTACAAAGAAAATGCTTCAAAACAAAAGAAAAAATTGATTTTGCACAAGGTTGAAGAATTATTTTGTTGACAGAACAAGAGGATTGCAGCAGCACCAAGTAATGTGTTGTCAACCGAAGGATTTATTCTTATTTACAAAGTGAATGAAATTAAATGCACCAGTTCCTTACAGTTTGTGTATAATACAAGTTGCTGAGTCATCTGTAGTTTGCTCAGTAGCTACCCTGATGAGTAACTGAAAGGAAGAGACTGGCCGTCTAAGGATAGAAGGTGTCGTTTTACTCATGATATTCTGAACAATCTGTGCTGTTGTATTTGCTGTAAAGTGTCTCTACTGTAGGCTATTTTTATTTTATGTACAGCACTTTGGCTCGACCAAAAATCGTTTATAAATGTGCTATATAAATAAAACTTGATTTGATTGATTTGACTGTTAGTTCTTGTGGTACAGTTGACTCTGCTAACTTTTCCCCCTTTCTTTTCTACGTAATTTTTTTTTTGGTTCATTTTTAAAGCTGGAACTCAGGGTAAGGCGTGGCAGCATCTGGATCTGCTTTACTCGCATTTCCATGGTCCTTCCTCAACAAGAGAGAACCCTCCAGTCCTGCCATTTTTGCCCATGCCGACCTGTAAGCAATTATTGAGAAAATCTAACTTTATGGCCAAGGCACTGTTATTTACATCGTCAATGGTTGGGAGCAAAGAAGCCATGCGTCATTATATTCAGGCCCTTTTACATTACATGAATTTACAGGCCATCGACCATAGGGTATAATAATTGAGTGAATCCCCAACATTGAAATACATGCGATGAAGCAATGATGCTGTTTACATGTCAATGTGGTTGTGGTAACAAGATGATATTAAAACAAGGATAGTTCCCAGAGTTGGCCATGTATTGTATGGATTCTCCGCCCAACCGAATTACAATAATCAAAGAGCAACTTCAGCAACTTTAGCATCAGCATGCGAAAGTTGCATTGCACAAACAATGAAATAGCAACACAATTGAGTGAAATACTCTTTAAAATATCTTTGATAGGCATGTCATGAATGTGTGCATCACTTTGGGTGAAACATGGTGAAACAGCAGTCTTTATGTATACCTACAAAAAGCCAATGATTGAAAATTGTAATTTGGTCAGGGCTGCCAGAAATACATGTCCAATTATGTAGACCAAAATAAATAAATAAATAACAACAGTTAGTTTCTTAATGAACTCAGAACATACCACGCAACAAAATGCAAGTGAAATATAATTGTGTACAAGACAACACATTAGGAATGGTTGATGCTTACTGTCATTTGTGTTTCATGAGAATAAAACTTATTTTATATATAAAAATTATAAAAAACAAAAGTGTAGTATACAAAAGAACAAGCTTTGCTTTTGTTGAACCTGGTACCACAAAAACTGCTTTTTCATACAAGTAACAGGTGAAGAGCTAAATATGGAAATATTTATTTAGCTCTTCACTCCATTCAAAAAAACATTTTCCTCAAAGAAAATGTAACATGTACTATTTACATAGACACCGATACACTGATGTATAAAAAAAGAAACACACACACAGAAAGGAAAAGAAAGGGTAACACACACACAGAGCAGGGGAGGTTTCTCTACATACAAGTCTCTATGTCCGTTAACGTGAAATGTACCTTGCAGTCGTCTATCAAGACTGAGTTGCGGTGTGTGTATACATTCTGGTTGGTGTTATTTTCAATGAAGGATTGTGTCTTTGACATCTCAAATTCTTCCATCCGGGCCTGTTGATCGTAAAGGTCAAGCTCGTGCTTGGAAAGGTGGTACACAATGCCCGCTCCATAGGAGTCCCCGACCACATTGACTGAGGTACGGAAACGATCCCTGCATGAAGAGAAGGTGTGTTTAAAGTGTGAATGATAAATGAAAGAAAAAGCTAAATGGAGCGAGTCTTCTTTATGTTTTAATTTAAATGTTTTAGTTATGTTGTTATTTAGGCTTCTAAATCATCACAGAAAAGTAAGCATGTCTTTTTAAAACAGCAAAATAAAAATAAATGTTAGATGCCGGCAAAATGTGCTCAATACCGTCACACGAGCAAAAACCTAAATAATTCATTGAAATCCAAGCATCTGTATTGACTATGGTGGTTAAGCTCTATGCTTTATACATTGTGTGTGTGTGTGTGTGTGTGTGTGTGTGTGTGTGTGTGTGTGTGTGTGTGTGTGTGTGTGTGGTGTGTGTGTGTGTGTGTGTGTGTGTGTGTGTGTGTGTGTGTGTGTGTGTGTGTGTGTGTGTGTGTGTATGGAATGTCCTGGAATGAAATTCCTAGAACATATGCTGAAAACATATGTATGTCTAACAAAGTGAAAGGATGTTAATAGCTTAAGAAAATAAGGTGTTGAGGTGATTTTACATCCTTAAGATTGCAAAGCATCCAAAAGCAAGTTGGTACCAAACAACCAGGCAAGCATGATACAAGTGAGTGTTTATGCTTAGTGACAACTGGACTGTTGGGGATATATGAGTCAATGAGGTAGTTAGAGTTGTGCTTTGAAGCTGTCATGTATAACCGTTGTTATTTAGCCCCGAGTGAATGATACCTTTCTTATTTTCAATGTAGTCTTTTTGGGGGTAAAGAAATAAATTGTCCAAACATTATACTATACTTGTATGAAGTATGGGAAGTTACCATTATTCTCTTTATCTTTTTCAAGCCTTAATGTAAGAAACACCTGTATGGTATTGGAATGTTTTTTATAATGATAGTGTTTGTGTTCATGGTGAACTCACAGCAGCCAGTCGACAGCAACCAGGAGGCTGATGTCCTGAGTGGGCAGCCCCACCGCCGTGAGGATCAGAAGCATGGTCACAAGTCCAGCGCTGGGGATACTGGCCGCTCCAACACTGGCCAGGGTGGCTGTCATACTAATTAGGAAGCAAATCCAACTCTCATCAGGTCGGACAAACCACAGGCTCTGAAGCATCAACATACCTCTGCCACTTTAAACATGCAGATTCTGTATTGCTAAAATAAATACTTTGACAACAAATTATAGTTTTGAAATAATCAATTAAACTAGAAAGAGTCTTAACCATGGACAAGAAAATGTGGATAAAATGATGTGAAAATATCAAAATAAATCAAATGACTGTGTTTGAAAACAGTTGGAAACATGTTTCACAAGCATTTATAAACAATTATTTTTGCTACATCAGATGTGCAGTAAGGGAGTGAAGAATGTGGATAATGTGTTTCCAAATGTTGCCTTGCTAATGTGCTGTGTTATCTATATTTGTAGTCGCATGTTCACCTGACAGTCACAATCTGGCCCCAGTCGAGGTGAATCCCATTCATCTGAGCGATGAAGATGGCAGCCACAGCCTCATAAAGCGCTGTGCCGTCCATGTTGATGGTGGCACCCACTGGGAGTACAAAGCGAGTTACTCTCTTGTCGATGCCCAGGTTCTCCTCTAAGCATCGGAACGTGACAGGCAAGGTTCCAGCACTGCGGAAAATAAAACATAAAGAAATGCTTTGTTGTGATCGTCATCAACATCATATAGTGTCGTTCAGTTTGCAAACTTTGCACCCAATTTGGCTCTAAAACGTGCAGAGATGAATCTGTCTTGTTCACACTTTCATGTTGCAATAGTGTTAAAATTGCATAATTCCTTTATACGTACTGAAATAAATCAACTCTGGTTATTTGATCATTGAACAAAATATACAAATTTAGGTCAAAACTTTGATGAATTACAAATAAATAAGTTATACTAGTTTGAATTAACTTTGAGTGGAATCCCATAGAGAAAACTGCAATTGGGACTCAGCAGTTGTTTTGTATGTTTTTGTCTGATAATTATCAAGTGTCTCTGGCAGATGGAGGAGCAGTGAGCAGCACAGACATTGAGAGAACTGAGCTCACCTCAGGAGGCGAAGGAGTGTGTCATAAATAAAACATTAAGTTATCTCACATTGAGGCAAAGTGAGAAACCGTTGCTGGCAAGACTACTTATTATCATTTGAAATAAAGGTTACTTTTGTTATTTACTTTATGGCCCTGGAGGAGAAAAGGTGAATCTGAGTATTTACAAAAATCATACAGCACACTAAAGAACAAACCTGAACTACACTCTCTGAGCTCACCAGGGTCAGAAAGTCTGAATCCTAGAGTAAATAAATTAAGACATCTTACCTGGATGCTGTTCCAAGTGCCGTGACCCAAGCTTGGAATATTCCCATGAAAAACGTCCAGGGGTTCTCTCTTACTATCACAAAATATATCAGCGGGAGGAAGATGCCTCCATGGATAATGAGCCCGACTATCACGGTTACCATGTACATCCCCAACTGCCTAGCAACCACCTCCAAATCCGCAATGGAGATGATCTTTCCACAGATGAGGCAGGCAATACCAAAAGGGGAGTACCTGAAGATAGACACAGGATTAATCTTGTCACAAACGAGCTGAGGACCAAAATGCAAAACATGGGAAACCAGGGATAGTCGGTAACCAGCTTTATTGAAGGCAATAGTCTGGTGGGAGACAAAACGGCAGATAGTAGGCAAAGGGCTGGTCGGGGACAGGCCAGGGTTCCAGGAGAAAGCAGGACCGGAGTCGCAGGTACAGAACGGGTCAGGGAGCAAGCGAGGCAGGCTGGTCAGGGACAGGCAGGGTCGAAACCGGGAGAGCAATCTGGAGGGTAATGCTGCAAAGTACGATCTGGCACTCAGGTGAAAGTGAAGTGGGCCTAAATACTAATGGAGCTGATGGGTGTAACAGAGTGAGAGAGAGAGACAGGGTGTGACTACCAGGTGACTAAGGAATGTTAATGCAGAAAATAGGTGAGTGAGAAAGCAGACTGTGACAAATCTGATCAGATTATATTTCATCAGGAATATTTTTTGTTTTGGTATATAGTGATATTTAGGTTATTCAATATATATTAATGTATGTTTTATGTAAGCAAAAACAAGTTAAATAGTTTGACAACTTACCACATAATAGCACCAACAAGCCTCATCACAATCTCATTCAGGACGTTGAAAAAGTCCAACATCAACTTAGCCCTTTCTCCCATTTTTCCCATAATAACACCAAACGCGACAAAGAATCCGATCAAACCTATAAAAATAAGATAACATTGAATTAGTCTTGGATCATGGTGTCTTTCAGAAAATAAATAGCCAAGAATGAGGGTTAACCACTCTTCGAAAAGCCATATGCTAATGTAAATTGCTTTGTTTTCAATAAAACAATAATATTAGGGAAAAAAAGGAAATGTATGTTTTATCCGCCAAGGAGGTTTTGTTTTTAGCTCTGAATGATGCTAACGAACTTTAACTACTGCTTTTTATTTCCAGTCCTACAGTGGGTGGTTCTTTAGACTTTTAACCTACCCAAGACGTTCATCCCACTCTTGAACTGAAGCGTCCTTTTAACTGTGAACTGTGGAGGTGCTTTTGTTCTGTTAGTGGGCACTGGCACTTTAGTGATTACCGTTTGGATCTGGATAAGAAGCAAAGAAAGAACACACACTTGGAGGAACTGACATATGAATCATACAATGTATGTTGGGCAACTTATTTTTGTAAGACTCCTACCTGCTGAAAGCAGGCCTGCACCAAGTTTTCTGGGAAAAGGTTTCGGATGAGATCAAAGAAAGCGTCCACGCTGGACACATCGCCGTTCTTCTTTCCCTGGCCGAGGCCAGCCCTCATCTTGGGGTTACCTGGGTGGATGACCAGCACCAGGATCACTCCCAGGACCGCAGCGATCACAGTGGTCGACATGTAGTACACCATGGCTCTGGTGCCTAGGCGACCGCTGGATTTAGCATCCAAACCAGCAAGTCCTGTAGGAAATAATATAAGTTACTTATCTAAAAAAATATATATATATTATCTTAAACAGATAGTTAAAAAGCGAGATTTTGTTAAAGTCAATATATTTAAATGATATGCAGATATATAGCAGATCTAACCTCTTCTCTTGGTCTGTTTTTTTGTAATAAAATCTGATTTAGACATCACAGTTTTCATTGATTAGCTCCACGGACCGGTTGCAGCATTTAAATAGTGAAGTCTCAACACATTAGTCTACACTCATTTAGAGGAGTGTTGTGATTGCTCTGTTTATGAGGACATATTCTCCAAATCTATTGGAAATAACAAATTCTGACCCGACTCCGGATAAGCGGTTGACAATAGATGGATAGGTGTTGCACATGTGAGTCCTATATTCCAATTATATATGCTTTAATCTGCATGAATGTGTATTTTAGTGGACATGTTGCCCTCAAGAGCATAGTCAAGACAATTTAAATATATTTATATAAACTGTATATAAAAAAAAAAGTGTAGTTGGTTGGTGTCTGGCGTCCTTAGCACATCACCTGCCTACTCTCCTGTCTCTCCTGTTGCAACTGAACTCTCAACAAGTCGGACCGTGCAACCTCATTTCAGGACAGTTGTCATCTAATTGAGCAGAAAATGTGCAGCAGCTACTGTACCTCACCCACCTGTGACCAGACTGGAGACAACAAGAGGCAAAATAAGCATCTTCAGCATTCTCATTAGGATCTCTCCAGGGAAGGCGATGATCATAATAACATCAGGAGGGAGAGGCGATATGTGCCGCAGCAGCATTCCAGAAATGGAGCCCAGAAACACACCTGAGCCGGCGGGAAAACACACATCAAACACAAAGCAAGCTGACTGTGAGTCATGAGATACTAACTGTGAACACAGAAGGATTTTATCAACATTGGTGTGATAAATACAACACCTTTTGCTTTTTGGAGTTTTAAAGCAACACTACAACCTGTCATCTAAGAGACACAGATGCATGGTGTTACCTAGATACTGTGATATTTTGTGTTTATACTGTAATACAACTTTTAACCTTGGGTTTTAACATTAACAGTGAAAATATAACTGATCAAAGTGTTTTCCCTTTTACTTCTGTCAAAGAAGAAATGCTGTAAAACAATGAAAATTAAAACTGCGGTCACAGACGTGCACGCAGTTGTGGGCGGGCCTTCGCGTCCGAGCGCCTGTAGGGGAGGGTCGCCGGTCGTCCCGGCGTCAAGCAGACGCGCGCGTTTCCTCCGAAATGAGCCGTTCGTCATTTCTCAAACGTTCGGGTCCCGGGCTCCCAGGTCTTCCGGCAGCGACCGGGAAACGTATGTGGGCTCGCCGCCTCGAAGGAAAACACATTTCCGTAAAGGCTCGTCGACGATCGATTATCGCGGAGGCTGTCTGGAGGAGCCTTAACCGTGGCGTGCGGTGCAGTGGGTTGTGCAGACGTTCTGCCCTTGGCCGTTTGTTTACTCGATAAACGCATCTCCTCTGGATATTAGGCCATGTATGTTCTATACCAGTGGAGTTTGCTTTTTGTTGTTGTGTTTATTGATCAAAAAGCAAACCTTCAATACAGCTGTTATGTGGTCAAGGTAAGTAAAGTAATGATTGAAGCTGTGTATTGGTTAATATTAGTGGATGACTTAAAATGTAGTCTCAACATATGTATTGTACTGTATTACAGGATGAAAGTCATCAGATATAATTGTAAATAGTTATGTAATTTAGCTATGTAATGTAAAAGATCCTGTTAGCAGGGCAGTGGTGTTTGTTCTCGGCATGAAAGAGGTCTCCATTCCATTTCTAGTAAGACATGTAGGTGATTAGGTAAGGTGTGGGTGAGAAGAGAAATGAAGACAGTTTGTATGTGAAATGAAAAAAAAAATGTATTTGGGCTTGAAATAGTGTATGCAATGAAACGGAATGATTGTTTTTGTCTGGGAAGTCAGATGTGTTTGCAGATTAGGTATAGAATATGTGGGAATGTGGATTGGTGCTGATAACGTCAGACCTTTTTGCTGACTGTGGAACAACCTGTGGAAATGACTGTAAAGTAAGTAGGGTTAGGTGCAAGATGTCACAGAGTTGGTTAGTGTTTGTTGTGGATGGAGTTGACAGTGTTGAAGGCAATGGTGTGCCTCTCCTTGTGTACGCATATAAAGACATAACATATATATAGTCACACATTACTCCTAACAAGTCGCTCTGGTACTGACAACAGTTATGTGGGACTCGGCAGGGATTAAGGCACTTTGTATACCTGTCCCTGCTTCCGTTGTGTACACACACACACACACACACACACACACACACACACACACACACACACACACACACACACACACACACACACACACACACACACACACACACACACACACACACACACACACACACACACACACACACACACACACACACACACACACACACACACACACACACACACACACACACACACACACACACACACACACACACACACACACACACACACACACACACACACACACACACACACACACACACACACACACACACACACACACACACACACACACACACACACACACACACACACACACACACACACACACACACACACACACATCAATACCAATAAATTACTGTGAGTGTTCTTTGTCAGTTAGAGAAATGGAACTGTTGAAGGTTAGGACTGCTTGGGTATGAAACATTGAACTGCTTCATGAGTACTGAAGTACATTGAATTGACTTTGGTTTCTGACAGATATTGAGTTGTATTTGTGACATATAAAGATTGTAAAGATTAGTAAGATGTTTATGTGATGACTGACACATTTAAACTCAATGAGGAAATGCAGTAGCATTCACGCTAGACTTAACTTACATGGTGCCGTTGCCCATACTAAACAGATACATGCCTATTGCACAGCTAGTAGGGCTGCACGATATTGAAAAAAACTGACATCGCGATTTCCCCCCCCTCCCCTGCGGTATATATTGTTTGTTTTTTTAACCTGTTAAGTCCCAAAGTCCCGGCGGGTCCTTTACTTTTTTTTTTCACGACACTGTGTCTCAGGGGATCTTAATATTTAAGAACCTATTAATGTGTTATACCAGATTAACGGAAATAATCTCAGCTAACTGACGATACAAACCATTTTTACCAACACAAAACACAAGTCTCATAAGAAGCATCTAAATGACCCCTGAACGAAAATGCTAACGCACTTTGGCACAGAACTCAAGATAAAAGTACGCTTATTACTAGTTATCGTAGCTGCACATACAAGATATCCGATTAAAGCTGAGGTTCCACAGATTATTTAGGTATATAGTATCATCACTGAGTGATCTGAACTCGGACAGGGGAAGCAAACACAGACATCACAACACGTACCTTTACGTAGCTTCTAGGGGAGATGTCTCACCGTAGCTGTCAATCTGATCAAAAGACGTGTTCAATGGCATTAACACGAGAAAAAACGCGGCTGAATCGGTTAATCCATAGGTTTTTAACATCTCTGTATAAAATAATTATTTCATTTATAAGCCATAATTCCATTTTTATGTAAAAATCGCAGAGCAAAAGTTAGTTGCTAATGGTAGCCACCAGAGTGGCTGCTGCTTCCGGTCTTGGCTATGCGGCAGTCCAGCGCAGTGTAACACACACACATTAACAAATAAGGAGTGAGAGTGACGCGTAGCCAAACCCGGAAGCTAATAATGGTGGCTACCGTTAGCAGCTAACTTTTGTGCTCCGATTTTTACATACGGTGAGACAATCTCCCGTAAAAGGTACGTGTTGTGATGTCTGTGTTTGCTTCCCCTGTTGCGAGATCGGATCGCTTAGATACTATACTTAAATAATCTGTGGAGTCTCAGCTTTAATCGGATATATTGTATGTGCAGTTTGGATAAGTAATACGGGTATTAACCCTTCGATTTCGAGAAAACTCTGTTACCCTCTTAGGCCCCATGGACCCGAAATCGCGTCATTTGCAGGAAACAACGTCTAAGGAACCTTAATATTTAATAAACTATGAATATTTTATATCCATAGGCTATAACGGGGAAAAAAACTAATTTAACTGATCGTTTTCATTTATTTTTTCAAAAAAAACACAATGCTAACAGTGAGCCTCTGAATTAGCCCCGAGCGAAAAATGCTAACCTATTACTGCACAGAAAATCACTCCTAGCTCCCTTATTACTTATCCTAGCTCCACATCCAACACATTGTTTATGACCGTAAATACACAGAATCTAACGGTGCCCACCTCAACACTGAAAGATACAAACTCGCGAGGTTATCAACAAAAACGTACATCAAAACAAGTGGCGCTAGCTACTAACATGCGCTAGGCTAACATAGCTCTTTGTCTGGTCTAAACTGGTTTTCAAAGGCATTGCTATCCGCGTGAGGTAGCATGGACCTGCTTCATTAGCTTAACTAGCATTAGCAATGCACACACCCACCAATGTTCCAATGAAAAGCATACAACATACATTTCAGTATAACACACCAATTGCGATATTACTCACGTTTGACAAAGTGGAGCAGGGTTTCTATGTACCGAGAAGTGGGTATTTTAATGAGTCTGTCGACGACAAAACCTCCGCGCACACACACAGCCAAGGCAAGCTACCTGAATTAAGTCTCTCCCTAAACCGGCAATACCGGAAATGTGACATCCGGTTTGTCCTTCACAATAAAGTTTTTCAAAATAAAGGTACATTTAATATTGACGTATCAAATTGATTCAAATGTCTTACACAACACATGTATCGAGACAATAAATGAACTGTTTATATAGTCGATCAAGTATGTTACTCATTACAGGATAATCACATGACACTAAATCAGACCGTCTGTTCTCCTCCGTTTACATCCTGCTGGTTTAAATTATGTGTTATATTGTATTGCATAGAAAGATGTGTTACTGTTCTGCTTGTAGTGGAAAGACTGTTTGTAGTCGTAGATAGAAAAACAAAGATGGAAAACATTTCACCATACATTGTTTAGGACTTGTATATGTATTGGGTGTTTATGGTTCATGTGGGAAATTAATAAGCAGAGCTGTTGCTGGTAAATTTGTGTGCCATCATAATAGCAATGTGTATACAGCATTTCGTGAATATCTGGAAAAATATGCGAGTAGTTTGGAGTCATTTGAGACATGTAAATCGTCAAAAATGGTACATTCTCGGTTAGCTTACGTTCACCCCGATTGAGCTAGCAACTATTTTATTCGCAATTTAAATGATATTAGATATGGGCTTAACTTGTCCTGGACTGGAATTTTTCCGATCTTTTCCCGAGGAGGTGTTTGCGAAAATGCGCTTAAAATGCATGAATAACGCCGATTTTTCAAAATGGCCGACTGTCTGGGGGGCGGGGCTAATGGAAGATATTTTGAAATATGTCCGCAATTCCATCAGTAATGTCTGTGGCAAGATTGGGGTAGTTTGGAGAAACTATATGTGACTATCGCACAATAGGGGGCGCTACTGAGATGGTGTAGAAAAATGTACGTTTGTTTTGTACAGTCTGGAAAAAGACGTGGGTTGTGACGTGTGTTCCAAGGTATGCATCCGAAAGTCATTTTAGCGATTTTGTGGCATTTAAATTGTCAAAATTGGTACATGTTCTGTTAGCTTACGAGCTCCCCGTTTGAGCAGTCGATTATTCATTCGCAATTTAGCATCGCATTGGATATGGGCTGATCTTGTCCTGGTTTGGAATTTTTCCGATCATTTTCCTAGGAGAAGTATGTGAAAATGCGCTTAAAATGGTCATATTTCAAAATGGCCGACTTAATAGGGGGCGGGGATAATGGAAGCCATTTTGAAATATGTCCGCATTTCCATGAGGAATCTCTGTGCCAAGTTTCGGGTAGTTCGAAGAAACTATATTTGACTACCGCACTACTGAGCCATATTTGCTAAAACGTACGATTTTTTTCTACAGTCTGGAAAAAGTTGTGGGCTGTGACAAGCGTTCCAAATTTAAAGGCTGTAACTCATTTTTTCCCCTACTTATGGCTCGGTACATTTTTTAACCCTTCGATTTCGAGAAAGAATAGGACACGCCCACATTTTTCATTGGTTGCGACCCTTTAAATCTCAGTTTATACTCACCCTGCCAGTATGTCTATGACAACATATATTTTTTTAGTCCATCGGTTCTTGAGATATAAATTAGTTGTGTTTTTGGCGCTCCCTATTGTCCGAAATGAACATTGTTTGTTGTGCCTATTTACCAAGACACACTGAACCTATCCACCGAAATCTGTGATATTTGGATACATTTTGGATGAATTGTGAGCATTTATGTGTAGGCCACACCTTTTTGCTAATACGTTTTGATTGATGTCGGCCACATTTTTCCACACCTCGTGCTCATTTTCTACGGTAATGTGTCTGACCCTCCATTGAGGCTGTGCACTAAGTTTGGTGTGGAAAATCAAGAAATTGGAATTTCAGTTAATATTTCACTGTTTTTCACATTATGCTAATTTAAAAAAATCAAAGTAGGCGGAGCTTCTGGATTTCATGGGGATTTTTAGATAATATGTAGAGCTGCTGCACCCGGATAAGTGTGCAAAATTTCAGGTCCGTTAGAGTTACGCTGCGACTTTGTAAATGTTTCGAAAAACTGCATTTACACAGGTGGCGCTAGAGAGCAAGTTGGACATTTTTCACCCATCGAATCCAGAATGTTAACATTTTCACCCGTCCTGCCGGCGTTGCCAAATGTCGCTACATGAATAGTGTCGTAACCCCCTCAAAAACAGGTCGAAAGTGCAGAACCGGTAAAATAATAAGAAAGAATCTGACGATTTCAATAGGTCTTTGCACTTCGTGCTCAGGCCCTAATAACACCTTTTCTCTGTACAATTATCTGGTATCCCGGCCACATAATTAGCTTGTCACATTAGTTTAAACCCTGAGAGAAAATGTTATCAAAGTTCCCAAGAAACTGCTATCGAAGTGTCATTTTATTCCTCATGTTTCCTGGTAAAAGACTGGGTTGGGAAAATAATTGTTGGAGATATTGATTGCTATTGAAAGTTGAAAATAGCACTTATTGTGTGTGGTGCTCCAAACATAGAGAGAGATAGACATGCAAGAGCCAAGCAAAGAGCCAAGCAAAGATCCAAAGCCTGCAGACGCTGATACATCCCATTGGTATGTCGTACTGGCGTTTCACTGGAAGCAAGTAGAATACGCCCCCGAGTTCGGAATGAGTCATTCACATTTTTTGGGGGAATTTTAAGAATACCTACTAAATCACTGTTTTGGCATGTTGGGCAAGATACTGCACATTTTTCTACATACACATGTGATACAGAAAACCCAGCCTCCTTTGGTTCCATGAGAACTTTAAACAACTATTAATTGCACTTCTTTAAACATAAAGACAGATACTGTAATCTATTTATATTAAAAAGTATTTGGTAAAGTGTATGGCCTCACACAGGGAACCAAAAGTGACTCAGTGGTTGGTAATATTTCCTCTAAGCAAGGGAAAGACTGGGGCCTTCCTGAGAGTAGTTTGTATGTCTTCCATGTGCATTTCTGGGTAGATTGCCAATGAGGCTCTATGTGCCATCCACTGTCCAAAGACCAGGTAAGGCTTAATGCCCACTTGTTAAATGTGTTAGTTTGTTTTAGTGCAGTGATGGTCTAACAACCCATCCAGAATGTACATCTTGTCTTATCTAATACATGTTGGGAAAGACTCCATACATAGGATAAAGGGTTGATGTAAATAGCTGACCAGATATACGTACCAAGGATTGTGAGAGTGAGAACCATGTTCTTCATGATTTTATCACACATAGAGCCACATATACTGTCAGGAGTCTCGACGATGGGCTCCATGTGGCTTTCGCCCATCCTGACCTCCACTTGCTTCTGCATTTTGTTGGCACTGAAAGAAAGAAAAGTGGGTATCAATAAGTGAAAGAATAACAGCAAACCCACTGTATTGGTGATTCCAAACTAAGGAGAAAATAAAATCATAGTTCTGAGAGCATTATGTCAAAGAGCTCTCAGAAAAGGAGCAAAAGTGAATTCCCAATATTGCATGCAAGCTTACTATTTCAAAAGCGTGTTCAATTGTGTCATTAGGTAAGTAATGATGGCTCTTGGACACATGGTTAAATTCCATTAATATCTGCATCCTATGCATTTTAAATGCAGGGAACGTTCTAAAAGGTTTGCAGATGGTCTTTCATAATTAGCAATCGACATCGACATTAAACAATTAACGCAGAATCAATAAATAGCCTGTTTTCATCTGCATAATAAACTAATTATTACAGTTTTACTCAATTTGAATAAACAGAACACCAGCTGTTACTCATATCCTCCCCTGTTGCTTCTGTTGCTTCTGCTGGCTGTCTGTGCATAGTTAGCTATGGTCATTTTAGGTATTCTGAGGTATTTTTAGTAATTCAATTTTTGATACATGTATGTTTTTGTGTAATGTGGTCCTTGATTTTGTTTTATACTTTCTGAGTTAATTTCAGAGAATGATCCAACCAAATCTTCAATCCAGCTCTTTGTCTTACTGCTTTATCATCTCAATGAACCACCAAGTATCTCAGGTTTGTTGTGGTCTGCGGTAAAGCCTCTTTGACTTAAAGATCAGCTTTCCCCTGTGCAGCTTTTAAATCCCCTGTAAAGCACAGACGTGCACAGTTACGTAACTGCGAATGCTCGTGTCATTTGGATTCTTTCGACCTTCATGACTTTAACACCTGGATTATTAATGCTGGAAGCAACCACAACAAAATATGCCTACGTTTCTGTGGGCAAAGGAGTTGTATTAAGTGAACTGTCCCTCAACATAAGGACTTCTCTTCAGGACAATACATAGTAGAGTTAGGCAACAAAGCCTTAATTACTGTATAGGCAATATGGAAACAAAATGTACCTCGAAGATTCAATAACACATTAGATAATTCAATATTTGAATTTACCAAGCATAATAGGGAATATGGAACATTCTGTCTAAATGTGAGGAAAGAACAACTGCCATGTCAATCACGCCTGTCTGATACACTGTGCTCTAGCATTAATGAGACTTAAGCCTTTTAAAGAGGATACAATTAGCATCTCCAGCACACAAGTGATTGAGTTATGCAACAGAAAAGGGGCTTCCCAGGAAAGTCAAGGTGTCACCACCACCCACCTGACCAATGTTATGCAGGAGATTATACATTTAAATACCAAACTTCAGTGTCCAAGACATTTTTCTTCATTTGTATCAGTTAGTTACTTGTCCTAAATCCTTTGACAAGTCTTATAAAAGTAAATTAATGTGCAATTTTAGTCAGTCACACTTTACAAAAGAAACAAATTATATTAGAATCATATATATTTTCCAATGCTGGAAATGTGATGCTATTACCATTAAAAGTCACACAAAATAAACTACCATGAGGCTAAATCCAAAAGGTCAAAGGGCAGCAAACGACCAAGTACATGTACTGTTTTTAAACAGCAATGACAAATCATTAAGTCAAACATCATACTTCCACCATTGGAATACTACCAGAGGAATTATACAGATATCAAACGTATGGAAGTTTACCATTATAGCAATGACTTCTTGACAGAAGGCCACAGATATTATTGCATCATCTTAACCTGAACAGAAGCCGCAGAACATTATTTTGATGGCACCTCTTCAATGCCAATGTTCTATGATTATTCACATAGAACTACCACATCACAATGTGCTACTAATGATGCTTACCAGTTGTTTTGTATGT